TGCTGAAAACAGAGGTACTTGTAAGCTTATAACTATTTCCCTTAGCAAACCAAAAGTGTGAGTGAACCAGTTGAAACTCCTGTCTTATATTTTTTTGTACGAGAGCTTTCATGCTCAGTTGAGTGTTACTCTCAATGGAATGATTATATCAGGATTCCCTGACAAAGACTGTGAAACTGCAGAGCGTTTGTTGTTGCCTTCAGTGGGGACAGGGTGCCACTCAAGATCTGGAGATCACACCTGTAAACAGGTCTATATTTTAATAGATTTTAACACTTGAAAGGTTACTTGTGTCTTTTATAAATATGGCTTAATTTCTGACAGCGGTTTAGCCAGACTTCAGAGCCAAAAAGAGATGAATGAGGAAGAGGAAGGACCTGCTGGTCTGTGGCATAGGCCAGGGGTAGGGACTGTGGCTTCTAATAGGAGAGCTACGAGACATCCAACATCAACGGGTGATAGACTCAAAGCAGAGATACTTCTTGACACAGTTCAGTGGTAGCACACCTCACTTGTTTTATCAATATAAAATTGTTTTATATTCACGGCCTTGTATTAAATAACAGAAGATGGGAAAAATCTAAATTAGACTTTTGGGCAGAAATGGAGATTTCACTGGATTTAAATACCAGCGCCACTCATACCTATGTACTTTGAGATCATGATTGCTAGTTATATGCCTTGTCCTCTGAATTAATTGGACTTTATGAACTTTCTTCCTCACAAACCCCAATATTAGAAAATTCTGCAGCAAACTGACTTTTTCTGGACTTGCTCATCTGTCATTTTTATTTCCAGAAATGACTCCAAACCTGACAAACATTTGTGATATTTGAGAACACACTAAAGGGACTGAAAATAATTTGGACCGTCATTTTTTTTTTTAATAAGGGATTCTTTACTGGGGATATTAAAAAGGTTTCAGGATACTTCAGGTCTTGTCATAAAGCCTAGAGAAATCAACGTCTGTTGATGTCATTTGTTTAAGATTCATGCAGCATTGCAAGCTTTTAACGTCAAAGACTGGTATTTCATAGCGTCTATTACTTGGCTCCCAGCGTTCATAAAGCATATGGTGAACATATTTTGACAGTGCCAGTGCCAAACTGTATCATAAATTATATTTGTGCTGAAAAGTAGCATGTATAATAGGAGAACACGATGAATAAAGTGCCTAGTGTTTGTTGCTTTTATATTACTTTTGTTTCTCCCAGTGGGCAATAATTCTCCACGCATGTACAACAACTCACGGTATGGCTAAGTGGCTGCTGTGGTTTTGGCACTCCAGTTGTATGTACTGACCGTACCACGTCTCTCTGCATTGCAGGAAGCTGATGAAGCACTGCTGTGCAACCTGGAGCTGCAGATCGAGTCCCAATTCCTGCAGGATGACATTAATGCCACAAAGGACAGATACAAGAAGGTAATAGGCTGAATTTGCCATCTTCTTTAGATCTTTCTCCTAGAGATGCGTGTGAAGCATAGCTCTTCCCCATGATCTGTTCCAGTGGGAAATTAAAGTAAGTCCCGTTTGTGTTTTGGTGGGTAAACTGTATTTTCAGCGGGCACAACAGCTGCAGTGTGGAGGTCAAGCCCAATGGCTGGATGGCTGCAAGCATCTGAATTGACTCCCTCAGGGTCCAATGTCTACACCTGTAGCGATGTCTTGAATATGTTGACCTGTTACCATGATTCAGCCCAATGTACTGGTCAAGCTGTCTTCTGTTTCATGCTAAGAAGCTATTGCTTTCATCAGAGGGGCTTTCCCAATTTTCTAGGCCAGAGCATTCCAGTTAATCAGCAGAAATAAGCCTGTGGCCATATGATTACACTGCAGCCGACTAACACATGCAGCCCCCTTCTCCTTCCTGGGAGAGCTGTGAGGCTTGGCATCGGGCCACTGTCCCATCTTGGCTGCTTTTGAAAGAAGCAGCTCACTTTTTTGGACGACATGCAAAGGTATTTGTGGTCCTCATTTTGAAAATCTCCCGTGAAGTCAGAAATCACGGAATCTTAAATTAAGACTGTGAACTATATTGTCACTTAGCCAAATGCCTGCAATGTACCCTCAGCGTGATGAAACTGTTAGCTCACATGCATTCAAACTCAGGTCTAAAACCACATTCCAAGACCAAGTCTGAACATGAACATGACTTTTATATGCTGAAAGAAGTAAATATCTAGGAATAAGCCCCAGAAGTGGAGCATATTGAAGGGCACATCTCGCCATGGCATTTTCTGATGAAAATGTTTTTTACTTCACCACAGAACCTTATGGAAATCCAGACCTATGTCAATGTTTTGCAGCAGATCATCCAGACAACTCCCCGCGTGTCCCCGATAACCACTGGCATATGTGAGGTAGGTATTGCTGTCGGTAAATACATGCTGTTCTAAGTAAGAAAGAGTCAATGTTTATTCCTAAAGCATCCCAGATCCTCTAACTCCCACTCCAATGTTAGACGAAAACGGCAACAACTGTGCCTAAGTGCTGAATATGAGAGAAAAAACTAATTGTAGCTTTGGAAATATGTATTAGCCCCCAAAATGGCTAGTTGAAAGGTAGTTGAAGTAGTTGTGCTTCCTAGCTGAGGAAGAGCTGGCAGGATATTTAAGTATTTACAGAGAGTAAATCATGTCCTGAAGGGATGAGATGTGGTGAAAATTTGTAAATCAAAATATTGGTACAGACTAAACGAAAACTTGGCAATTCCCACCAATGTGAGTGGCTATGCCAAGAACGTTTATTGGTTGGAAGAAGATATGAACAGCTACATCTACAAGGGCCTAATTTCAACGTAAGCTGTACTTCTAGTCCGGCTATCTGACATCTTTTATTCTTAAAGCCGTGCCACAAGGGTTTACTTGAGCTTCAATACCCACCTTTTTATTTATCTTTTGTAATTTTCTATTTGTCTTTACAGTTTATTTCCAGTAGTAGAATTTCTTTTGTCTCTCTTTAAAAGAGTGAAACATACTTTCCTGTACACACGTTTGTTTTTTTTTTTCTTCTGACCAGGAAAAACTGATAGCGGAGAGGAGGATCCCTGTTCTGCAGAGCCAGCTGGAAGAATACAAGAGCATCCTCTGCCAGCTACAGGCACAAAAATACAAACTGCAGACAGAGGTACTGCCATAACTAGCCATAAACACAACCATGATGCTCATGAACTGTGCTCTTTTTATGGCCACGTGGTCTTTAACAGGGTCTGGTGAACTCAGTTGCCTTGGAGATGTGTTTTCCGTTTTCCATCTTCTTCTTCAGCTGTTTCGTTCTCATTCTCTTGGTGGCCCAAATCATGAGGTTTAGATGGCCAGGGAGGGCTGTAGGTATTGTAGCCACAATGAAGCCATCTTTGCTTATCAGAGTAGCTGGTGGGAGAAGGTTTCTGTGTTGTCACTAGATTTCTGTGGGATGGAGTCAGCAGGAGGCTGTGGATGGAAATGTCACATGGGGCTTGTCTCACTTTCTTACTTACTGAGCTCAGGCTGGAAACTGGCTCCATGAAAAACGATGGGGGACCTTCAGGGCTCTGCCCAGTCCTTTTCATCAGTGCCACAACCAGTGCTGAGCTTGCTGTGAGAAGGACTGGACAGACTTGGTAATGAAAACTCAATGTCCTTTGAAACAGCTGGATTTGGCATCCTGCGTTCATCCCTGTCACTGCTAAGCAGTGCAACACCTCTCCTGTGCTTAGACACTACCAGCACCAAAACGACTTGCTTTTTGCCAATTCCCGATTTGCAGAAAGTGACTGGCCAAGACTTTCATTCATTGCTCCTGCTCATCTCCCAGCCAAACTTGCCATAAATCAACCTTCCTCCTCCAGCCAGTGTCTCTGAGCAAGCGTGCAGTGCAGGGGCAAGGGGGGCAGGAGATGGAGGAGCAGCTAAAGGCTACAGTGAATAGAAACCAGTCCTGTACAGTTGCCTGTGGCAGGTCTGCCTACACACAGTCGAATGTTTCTTAGTGGATGGGGATGGAGAATGACCACCTTATGCCCCCCAAATACAGCTTCCTTTGCGCCTCGAGTTGTCCATCCGGGCTGGGGGGAGGGATATACTGGCATAAAACACCTTTTGGTGGGATTTTGGACTCCTCTGGACAGTCAGAGTAGCAGCTCTTAACTTCCTGAGCGTAACTTCTCTCACTAGGGCACTCAGGGACAGTGCTACTCCCGGGTCTTTTCCTTGGTCTTTTCTCATGTCTGGTGCTCTGGTGGAAAGGACACATGCGCCTGGGAAGGGCAAGAATCAATATAGCGATAAGTGAGATAATGAATCAATATAGAAAAAAGGGGAGAAAATCAGCCTTCTGCTGGCAAACGGAGAGAGGCACTCTTTGGGGAATTAACCGTGCTGCTTTGAAAATCAAATCTTCATGTCCCATTTAGAAAGAGTTTATTAATTCATTCCTTCTCATGCCTTGAGATTAAAAGAGTGAAATAACTTTTTGAGTGGAGGTCGATGGCATGGTTGCTTGTGACAGCGAAGGCTGGAGCTGATGACTGAGGTGTCCTCGAGCTCCTTTGCTTTCCTCTTTCTGGACCTGATAACCGCGTTGTGGAGAGGTTATCGACCCACCTCGTGAGCACTGGGCACTAAAGGGGTCTGTGGAACCTCTTGGTCCGCTGGTACACTGCACTATAACCAAACTAATACCAAGGGACTTAGCTCCTAAATTTAGGCTCTTAAAAGGTTTTTGAAAATCTTGCCTGTAACATATAGATATAAATCAATTATTAAAGAATCCATTAGTCGGTTATTGCCCCATTAGCTTTTTGTGAGTGCGTGTCTTTAAAAGCTGTTTGAAACGGGAAAAAAAAATCCCAAGTGATAAAGTAACTATAATAAATAGCCAAAAATAGCAGAAGAAAGTGAGAGCAGAATTATGCTGCCAAATATCCCACCTGTAATTCCTGCCCCTTGTTTTTGCAAGGGACTCATCGCCACCTCCTGGTTGATGCGCACTCCAGTGACTGGCTTTGAGGCCTTACTGCACAGCAGTTATTTTTATCGCTAAAGTAAAAAAGCTGAAGAATTGAATTCAAAAGGGAAGCTTTTTATTTAAAAAAAGACCCTTCCTTAACCTTCAGTGCTTGGTCTGTGGACCGCAGAGAAGGAAGAACAGGTTTTGCCCGGGCACATCTTCCCAGTTAAGCACTTTTGTTCTCCTCTTAAGACACGGCCTGCTCTGCTGAGGCTGTCCATGGTGAGCTGCGGGTCACGCAGCGAGACATCAGCCAGCCTTGCGTGCATGGGGAAGGAGACATCACGCAGCTGCTTCCCTGGTTCATGCCGATCCCATCATGCTTATTGTGGAACAGAAGCATTGGGATAGATAAGGGGGTGGGGGGAGAGTTACTGGTTTTGAATAGCTAAACAAATGCAGCGAAACTGCCACTGCAGTGTGGCCTCGCACATCGTAATAAAATGTCTTGCCTTTAATTACCCTTGAAATATGGGGATGCTGAATGCTTCAGAGCTGCTTCTTTCACCCACCAATTTTGTTCACCAGACAACCATGCTGGAGCAAGCGATTAAAACCACCCAGGAGAGTTATGATGATGAAATTCAGCTTTACAATGAGCAGATTGAAAACCTTAGGAAGGGGATAGAGGAGGCCGAGAGGACCTTGGAGAAGTACACGACCGACTGCCGCCAGCTGGTGATCTACCAGCAGTCCCTGGAGAACGAGCTGGAACGGTACAAACGTATCATCGAGAACGAGGACAGCCGGTAAGGCTGGATTTCTGGACTCTCCCAAAGGGGCCAGTGATCTCCTTTAGCTCCTTTGAAAAACGTATGTTTAAGGGCATTTGATCCACCCAAAGCTATGACCATTTCACACCTTTCACTGGTAAATATCCAGGGACAGGAATCTAAATAGATGCAAAATCTGGTCAAGCCTCTGCCAAGGAAAGGGTCAGAGCCATTTCGAGCTTTTCCATGCAGTCTCCTTTCCATATACTGTCCTGGCATCAGTGAACAGAGGTCAGGGAGCATATGAAAGCAAACTGAACACCCTCTCCACTGCCCAGGCGTTAGTGAAGCTTGCTGGGGTGTTACAGGCAGGTTGGTCTCACAGGGCTCAGACAGGACAAATGTCCTGTAAAGCAAAACACTCTTCACAGCAGCCCCATTCTTCAAGCAAGGGGGAAAAAGAGTAGAATGTAAGAAATTTGCAGGGATTTGAGTTGTGTTTAAACCTGCGGAGGAGCACTGGCTCCCTCTAATGTCAACCATCAGCCTCACACGAGAAAAGGAGCTGGGCTTTCACAGCAGCAGCTGGTGCTGCCTGCGCAGGCAGAGCCAGACCCTGGAGCGCCCAAACCGCTGCTCTGGGTTGTCCAGAAGGTGCAGGGGAAGGACACACACTAACAGGCAATCTCACATGTGGGGAACAGATGTTTCAGCAATTTTCAGCATCTCATTTTGGACACTGTGTTCTGGTTAGGAGTATCTGATCAGGGTAATTCGCAGTGCCAAAAATCCAAATGTGCATCTCTTGCATATCTACACAGGGTATACATCCTCCCTACAGGCCAAAATATTATCTCAAATTCTAGCAGAGCAGCCTGGAAAGGCCACAGATGCAGTAACTGGTCTGCATGTAGGCCAGCTTCTCAGTTTTTATTTTTAACCCTTAATACCACTGACTCCTCAAATATTTTCCAAGGAAGACTGCTCAGTTTTCTTCTTGCCCTTCTGAAGTCAGGCATATGCAGGTAACATTGTACCAGCTACCAAATTTTGTATTTTACCAGCCAGCATGTACAGCTCTTGCTGACCTCTGGTAGGCGTGAATTGACTGTTGCCCATCCAAAATCTTCCCATCCTTTCAAAGTGCTGTGCTAAATTACAAACCTGTTGCTATGGGTTTTAATTACTGGTGTACTTTACCTAATGGAGCATCCCACGTCTTTGGCTGGTCGAAACCAGCCCCGCTCCTGCAAAGGTGCTGTGGCTGTGTTGATTTTCCCCAGACAAGAAACAGGCCCCCGTCGTTCTCTTTGACTCCTCACCACAGAGAAATACGTTTTCTTTAACCTCCATGCTTCATTTTGCGCAATTTCACTTGCTCTTGATGGAAATGAGGGGGAGAGATCTGACCGATGCGCGTCTTCTCCGGCAGGTTAAACTCTGCTATAGCAGGAACGCCAGTCACACTCTTCACGCAGATCTATAGACCTGTCCAGCCTCAAGCTTCGAGGGGAAGAGGTAAACCTGTGACATGTCTTCCCGTGTCTGTCAAGAGCAGCATTATTGTATTTTAAGCTGTTTTTTCCATTTGTCTTCCATACGAACCAGCCGTGACAGCCTGACTTGAGGCGTGCTAAGTAAATGCAACGATTTCAGCTTACCTCAGCTGGCTTTGGGACAAGCTGTCAAAGGCCAAAACCACAAGCAAAAGAGTTTCTTTGCTAATTTCTGCCATTTAGTACTTAGGCCAATCAGTAGAGCAAAGTCAGAAGGCACCTGAAGCTACAGAAAGAGCTGGGGGTTTTGTGCTGACTTGTTGCGAGTCGTTGGCCAACACTTCAGTCGCGTGCAAAGAGCATCAGGGCATGTTGAGTGCTGCAGGCAGGCAGAGGACACTTTTTCGGGCCTGTGTCCCATGGCCTGGTTTCCTCTGAATGGGGTTTCCTCCATGTTGTATGATTGCTTGTTAGAATTAGGATGCTTGTAAACCTGGTGACAAGGAAACAGCCAAGTTTAAACTAGCAAAGCTGCTTGTAACAAAGAGGGGAGTTGGTTCGTAGAAAGGTGCTGTAGGTACTAACATATGGGATGACTTACTATAGCTTAACTCCAAGGCTCGCTAGGGTTTTACTAGCAACAAACTGCCCTGAGAACAGAGAGAAACCGTCAAATGAGGTTTTCCTTTGGCGTGCAGCTGTAATTTTTCTAAAACTGCTCTGTGAACCGTAGCATTTTTATATGAAATGGGTCCATAATCCACAAGGCCAAATCCTCAGCAGCTGTAAATAACTCCTGTCCTGTGAAGTGTTGTTTTATACCCACTGAAGATTCAGCCCATCTCTATCCACACCTCTGCTTTCTACCTGCAAGGTGAGCAGGGCATTTTACGTGCATTACTGTACCTGTGACATTGCACAAAACAGGTGCCTTGGGGAAAACATATTAATACCTGTCTGTCCCTGTGTTCCCCTAATTCCCGGTGCCAACCTCTGCCTCCTCTGCTCTAGCTGTTCATGCCACGGAAATCAGTTGCCTGCCCGTGCTCCTGCTGCTGCTGCTGAGCTCTCATGGGGTCTATGGCTACTGACTGCCCAGGAGATCAGAAACACAGCCAGCGGGCAGGGCTTCCCTCTGCGCGGGCCTAGAGCTCAACGTCGGTGTTCGAGTGATGCCAAAATGTTGCTCCTCAGCACCGCGCCACTGGCTGGGCGGCTGCTTAGCTCTGGGCCTGCCGGCCGCTCGCTGCTCCCTCCTGACCCACCTCCCTGCATCTGCCCATATCCAAAAGTGCCGTGACGGGAGGTGCCGGGCTCGCTCTTAGCCCCCCTGGGACACAAAGGTGAGGAGTCCCACTGCTGAGCCCATCTTCAGAAGTGCTGGAAGAGCTGCTGATGACACTCACCTTTTCCATCCAGCCTGGACCGCTCGCCCAGCAACGCTGCATTCAGCGGGAGGGTTTTAAATAGGGCTTTGGGGTTTTCTTTCCTCCCTAAACCCTAGCAGGAGTTGTAAAAGGCAGACAAGCTGTTTCCACTTAGTCCTACTGCCAGGCCATGCTTCTAACTTTGAGCACCTGGCTTCAGTCGCTGCCTTCAGAGAGGAGGTTTCTTGTCTAGTTAACAGGGCCAAACTCTGCCACGATGCCTGGGAGGAAGGTGCTGAGCCCGACTGCAGCAGCAGGCGCTGAACGCTCCTGCTGAGCATTAAGGCAGGCCTGACAGGTGAACGTTTTGTGCAGCTGCCTCTCTTACACGCACGGTTGTCCTGTCCGCACGCTGTGTATGGCAGTGGCAACCTCAGATGCAAAATGGCGACTTGGCCGAGGGGGCCCACGCAAAAGAAGAGGCTGTTTAATGCGCTGGCAGAAGCTGTGCTCACATTTGCTGCTGCATTCAGCTCTCCACCTGCAGCACTGAGGGTGAGAGGCAGCTCTAGCATTTCCAGCGGCTGTGTTCAGCACTGTTTGTTGTTTGCTTTGTTTTGATTTTTCCCTAGATATCACCCAGGCCATGCAAGACATTGCCAGTGTAAAGCCCAGACAAAAAGCTCTGACAAAGAAAATTGCCAGGAAAAAGGAGCTGATGTCTAAAGACATAACCGACGGTCTCTCGCCTGAAAGAATGTACGAAAGAACTCTGGAAGGTTTTGACCAAGATCAGCTGGAGTTTAGGCACGAAGGCTCAGTCACATGTGAACCTGGGCAGGAAGAGTTAGAACTTGACGAAACAGAAACGGGCCCTGAGGACGTACCTGATGGAGCCCAGATAAGTAAAGCCTTCGATAAATTATGTAACATTGTGAGGGAGAAGATAAGAGTCTACAAGAGACCAGAGCCTAAACCTGATGCCTATCCCAAAGGGCGTTATGTGCTGGTAACAGGGGAGGAAGGCTATGAAGAGCCTTGCATCTTGGCCCCCTCCATCCCAGCTGTGGGAGGGATCATAGTTTCCACGAGCAACGGGAAGGTGATGAACGGTGGTGAAGTGGAGCCCATACCGGAGCTGCCAGAACCTGC